GGTATAGTGTAAACATCAATTGGCGGCGAGGCTGGCTTCTTCTTTGGGTACATACAGCGAAATCGAGGTTTCGGATGAGAATCTTGCTTTGATGCTGTCAAAAATCTGAAAGTTTCAATGCAATACATAAGGTACAAGTTATGTATGAAGACGGAAGTATGCGTATTAACAGCCTCGTGTGATCTTTGTCCTTGCGAAAGTGCGGATCAAGATTCATCAGAACTTTGTTTTAGGTCGTCATTGTAATGTAAGTCTTTAATTTCAACATGTCTTAATTTAGTAAAAGAAAACTATAACTTTGTGGGGGAAAAAAGCTTTCCTTAAATCTTTAAATGACTTTAAACAGAGATATAGAATAGTGTAAAAGAAAAAGCAGAACCAACAAACCAAACAAACTCAAAGTTTAAAGAAAAGGAAACAAGTAGTGAAGTGGATTTAGGGTTTATTGTGTGAATTCGGGCGAGGAATTGGTGAGAGAGAGAACTTCATGTTGTGGTTGCAGCCGTTGTGGTCTCCACTGGCGAAGTAGTAAGTTTGAGCCTTACGTAGAAGCAACTTGAAGCTTCCTGATGATGATGATGAGTGTCCTCTTGCTTCTAGCTTCTTTCCTCTGGTCACATCGCATCTCTTGTAACTCTTCAAGTCTTGGAGCAAGTAGACATCGTTGTTGTTGTTATGCTTCTTGGATTGCGTTTGATCATTGTTGTACTTGAAAACAAGAACATCATTGATGTAGAAAGGAGCATGCTTTGAAGCCCATACTGCGTAATGGAATCCGTTCTTCCACACAATAACCTCAATCAATCTTCTTGGCGATAGTGGACCGTGTGGTTGTGATGGCTGTTGTTGCTTGTAGAGCCAGTGCTACTTGAGTGGTTCGATGGAGTCGTGTGATTGTGGTGGATGTTATGTGTAGAACCAGTGCAGCTTGAGTGGTTTGATGGGGCCGTGTGGTTGTTGTGTGTAGAGCCAGTACCACACGAGTGGTTTGATGGGGCCGTGTGGTTGTGTGTAGAGCCAGTACTGCTTGAGTGGTTTGATGGAGCTGTGTGGTTGTTGTGTGTAGAACCAGTGCAACCTGAGTGGTTTGATGGAGCCGTGTGGTTGTTGTGTGTAGACCCTGTGCCACTCGAGTGGTTTGATGGAGCCGTGTGGTTGTTGTGTGTAGAGCCAGTGCCGCTAGAGTGGTTTGAGCCAGAGCTACTTCCCCAACCCCAGTGTGTATCTGTTCCGTTCGAGCTCCAACCCCAACCAAAGCTAGAACCACCCGAGTTCGAGCCTGAACCTGAGCCAGAAGAACCGCCAGAGTTGTCGGAGCCCCAGCCCCAGCCCGAACCGGACTGGCCAGAGCCCCAACTCCAGCTCCATGCATCAGCAGTCTCGGAGAAGACGCATGCAGTAACCACAAAGACTAAGAGTAGCTTGTGTGCCATAGAGAGACCCATTACTTCTTCTTTGATTAATGAGTCTCT